CTCTGTCTCCGGTGGCTGAGCGCTAATACTGCGTTAACCGAGGGACGAGCAAGCTGCCAGGAGTGTGTGGTTCTTTCTGTTTTGTGTGTGTGTGTGTGTGTGTGTGTGTGTGACTGGGGTAAAGGAGTGGATGAATCGGCAGGAACAGTCAGAAATTGTCCGTCTCTCCATCCATCCAGAAGTGGCCGTACCCCGGCAACGTCCGCCGTTGCGCGTGTGTTTAGATTGTTTGTTGTATTCTCCTTTACGATCTTCATGTGTGTTTTGTTTGTTCAGCGCCATCCATCGAGGACTCTGAACCCTGTATGTAGTTATTCTTTTTACAGTACATGTTTGTTTGTGCGGTTCAGAGGAGCATCTGCCACCTCCTACAGTGTGTAAGGTTGACCCACTTTCTTTGTTGCCTCTGCCCTTTGTTCAGGATGCGTGGGGGTGCATAGAAATACTGTATGACTCGAATGCCCCATGAGCATTGTTTTATTGACGTGGTTGCATGTTGTTTTTTTTCCAATGATCTGTTACAGCAATCTGTGTGCTGTCACTTAGATTAAGGACTGGATATTGTGAAATACCATATCTGGTCGGATTCAGCGCACGTGAACTCGCTGACCCCCGCTGCTCAGTCATCCTTAGCTGCTTTCCATTTCCTCTGTGTGCCAACTTTACCGATGTGGTGTCAGGCCAACAAGGGAAAGGAGTCTACACGTTAAGCGCGATTGCTGCAAATAGGCGCACAAAGGAACCCCACGCAAACCCACGAGGCTTCGGAGGCTGAAGGACCTGACAAGAACACATTTCACGTCTATCGCTTAGCATATCGCATCCTCTGCTGATGCGCCAAATCGTGGAGCTTTGTGTCAAATCTACAGCTGGGGGGAGGGGGAGATTAATGCAGTCAGTCACATGTAATGGCAGGGGCTTAAGACCTGTTGGAGAGGAGGAGGAGGATGGGGGTGGTGGTAAATGAGGAAGGGGAAGGAAGGAAGAAAAGCAGTATGAGATGAGGCTGGACAGGAGAGGGCCGCATGGCCGAGGTTTCTTTGTTGAACGCAGGACTTTGTCGTGTTTGATGCTGTGGTTCTCCTACAGCACCACAATGTTATAACTCATAAGCTGGTCATTTTATAACATTCCCACGCTTGTTTTTTCTCTTTATCATGTTGTTTTCTTCAGACTGAGCTAGCTTTCAAACACCCCCCCCAAGCACATTCAACAGTGCAGAGTAAGAACTCACGCAGTTAGTTTTCAGCAGGATGGATGTTTTTTCTTTTTTTTTTAAACAGGAACTTGTTTCAAATGTTACACCTCAGATCGGGTGTTCATTTCCCCAACGGGTGCTTCTCTAAGCAGCTGCTGCGCGCTATAAAGAAACCGTTAGGCACTTTGACTCCCTTCTTAAAGGAAGTACTACTGAACCACTGTTTTATACCAGTCACTTAATATTAATCTTCTTCAGTAATACACCCATTCCTCTGGTCTTTGCTGAGGGGACCTCTTAGCCCGTCTGCTATTGCAGGAACATATATCACAGGGGAACTGATGATTTACTAATAAGCGAGCTAATTCAGGGGCCCGGCACTGAACTAATTATTTGCGGCTGGACTTTTTCAGACCAGTCATAAATAATGACTCGTGTCCAGTGGATGGGGCCTGACCGCAAGTGCAGCTTGTGATGAAATGTGACCCTCAGAAATACTCCCCCATAGTTTGGGATCCCTCGCTCTCTCTACAGGACAACACCCCACTACTAACTTAATAAAGCCGACTCCGATACTGTCACACTTGTCTTTGCCTATTGTTGCTCTCGTTATCGCTGGATTGCACTCTGGGATTGCATCTATAATACCGCCACATAGCCCGACTAGGTGCACAGCCAGCGCAGGTCACCGTCCACACGGTCCTGCTCTGAATTTGATGGTCAGTGTCCCTTCCTTTCATATCCTGTAATGTAATGTCCTGATGTAAGGATGAAGTAGATGAAGGACGGATAAAGCACCAGGAGGAGGAGGGGAAACCGCAAGCTCACATCCTGCCCATAGGACAACGCACACGTGCTTATTCACATGCAGTCTGGGATTTTCCTTGCTGGGGTCTAACTCTGCATGATAACTCAGTTTAACGTAGTTTACACACAAACACACATTTATGCTGTGAGGTTGTATTCTGTTGATCTAATGCCTCTCGGGTCCAAAGAATAACCCCTCAAACGAAGCTAAAGTTATTGACATCCCTGTTTTACAATACACACTTCTTCTAGGTCTGGTTAGAAGTCTGATCAGCCGAGCGCTCCAACGGCTGTTGCTGCTGTGCGTATTTGATAGTTAGCATGTGCTGACACCCTCCTGCTCAGCTGCCCACTCCGCCGGCTTTCCTCCGGATGGACATTCGGAGAGAGCGGAAAGCACATGAAGGCCAACTTCCTTTCCAGGAGGGATTCTTTGTCTGGGATGTTGATATTGCTTTTGCTGCAAGGATGTGCGCCTGTGACCTCCTGAGGGGGGAGGAGCTTGGGATGGGAATTGAATGTTTCCTCCGATATCTCTCTGCTTTTAGCTTCATTTCTTTATAATGGCCTACTTGTCATTGCCGGCATTAGGTGACTTGAGTGAGATCTGTCTGGCCCAGGCTATGCGGCAGAATCGGTTTCCTCTGTGGAGGAGAATTCTGTCAGCCTGTCTGCAGCAACTTCTGCATCTAAAATAAATACACAAAAAGGGTGGCCTAGTTTTGAGATTTGCATTTGGCAGAATGACCAGCCCTAAGCAGATCAGGGTACGCTGATGCCATTCATATGCGGGAAAGCTATTTCGATTCCACCGCTGCCTTTTGCAGTCTGCCCCGAGCCTTCTGTCATACATGCAGATCCAGGAGCTTTACTCCCTCACCTGTCCGTTTATCTGAAGCGGCACGATGTCTAACGGCAACATAGTCCTGCTTGTCTTCTTTAGCGTGTTGTTGTTTTTCGCTGAAATCTGTGACTACTAAAGCCGTTTAGTAGAAGGGGATTTGAATTTGACCCTTCTTTCATTGACTTTATAATTAAATGTCATTACATTTAAAGAACATCCCTCACAACGGGATGAGTTTTCCCAAAAAGTTAGCTAGATTTATTGATTTACACTTGACCAATATAATACAACCAAAACATTGGACTATGTCATTGTTCTGTAGCCAATGCATTCACAAACCAGTTATCTTGGCAAGTGTATCCCGTTATAAATTCTTTTGGAGAGGATTGTCCACCTTGATACACCAATGTGATCGATTTTGAAATTAAATTGTCTTAATTGCTATATATCAAATCCTTTCTCTGCCAGCTGCATTCCAGGCCGTGACCAACCTTATTTCTATGATTTCTGTTGTATGACGTCCAATTTAACATTTTCTAAATTCTATCAAAACCCATCGCTTGTTGTTTTTCATAGAAATAAAGGCGCCCTTTCAGTTGAACAGTGGTTGCATTGTTCTATAGTATAAAAGAAGAACGCATTTTACTTTGAGCAGTCAGAGACGGAGGTGTAGATAAGCTGCTGGACACCTCTATTCAATGAAGAATCAAGCAGCTTGCCGAGGTCATGTGGATATATATTGAATTTACAGAGAAGAAAGAGTCGCTCGCACAAGCTCAAACCTCCGTTCATTAATTTCACTAATTGAATTCCTTCGACAGTCCACTCATTACCGCTGTCTATCATTCACTGGAATCCTCCGTCTTACTTTACAGTCTTGTATGATGTCCGCTATTTATAGCAGGAGATTATAAAAGCGAATTTCTCTGCACTTTTTCAACTGAGGACATACCACATTCAACAACTCTATCAATGTGTGAAGACGCAACAACTATCTCCGTAAATGAACACTGTATTAGATGGGGCCATTTTTTAAGACATCTCTTAAAATGCCTTTAATGTCGAGAATCAATTTTCCGTTATTGGATCATTTAGTTAACAAACACAGCCAGGTCACCAATGCGTGTTTTCCATGCATGTTAGTGCATGTCGATGCGTGTTTTGGTTCATGGTAGCAACCTCTCAGGTAAACACTGTCGACTAAGTTTCCACTTCTGCCATTGTTTGTGCTGTTAAGAGTTCGCTGTCATCCCTTCGCCATGTTAGGGAGCATTTTGAGCTCCTATCAGTATCATGCATTATTCCTTCATAGGAATACTGGTTTATTTCTATGACTCTTGTTGTATAATAATGTTGTCTACTGTGTGCCCTGAAATTTTGGTCCCCAACTGTTTAATATGGCCATGCTTCCCCTGCACAAAGCACCACAGCCCTGCCAGACCCGGCGTGAACCCGGCGTTATGTAACCATGAGTTATTTATCATCATTAAGGCACCAAGGCTTTAATAGCGACACTGAACGCAGTACAACACCCCGGTGGCTGTTTATGTCGGATGCGAGCGGAAAACAGAGTGTCAATTGAGGATCGTTTACAGTCGTAGAACAAAACTTGACTGTGCAGATTCGGCCTGTTTTGTTCCCTGTGTGATGATACAAACATTGTGACACCGTTTGATACGGCGGCAGGACAGATGCGTTATGTAATGATGTCTTGTGCTCCTTTTAGTCTTGCGCCAGAAAAACTCGATTAACTTAAGATGCCAAACCGCTCGGGCTCAGCTGCAGAAACACGTAGCTTTGCTGTGTTCCTCCGTGCACAAACATGAATCCTCCCGTCCTAGTCCTGCTATAGCCTGTAACAACATTGTCCCATTCATATCACCATATTTACACCGTAAAATACCTTTCATTGTTACTTCAATCCACTTGAAACTGTTTGTCCCTTGGATCCATTCCGGGATGGATCGTAGCTTTGATTGTAGTAACTGGTCACATAAAGCACACACATTGCAAATGAAGCCTTTTGCCATACACACGCAACCCATTATCCGCTGTGTGTTCAGATCAATAGAATTTGTAATTGACTTCTGAAATTTTGAATTTGCACCCTCTTGACTTGCGACTCTTCTCCTCTTTTTTTTTTTTTTACAGAATGAGAAGCCTCTGGGTCATTCAGCAAGCAGGTCCAGCAATATATCAAAGGTGAGCAAAGCGCATACAGATGGGGGGGGGGCTGTATGAATATCACCTTCCTGCGCTACAGAGCCAGAGGACGGGAGGGCGGCGGTGAGGTGAAGCTGGGGAGGAAGGCGGCGATTGACCCAACAGATGGACACACGGTGCAGCTGATGATAACCTGCCTCTCCAGATTCACATCACCTCAATCCGATCTGCCCCTCTGATGAACCTCCAGAGAGCAGCTCTGCTCACTTTGGCTGTCAGACGAGATGTTTCTCTGTGACGCTCATCTGTTCTCGATTTCATTTCCCTCCTCGTCCTCGCTGCTCAGGGTTTGACCCAAAGGTTTCAATCCTCGCTCACCTGAGCTTCTTATAGGATAAACCCTTCACTTTCCGTGCAAACGGATGTCAAGGTCACTTTATCACCGGGGGGGGGAGGGGGCGCGCTCCCACAATGTTTGATCTACAAGCAAAGTAATGTTTATACATGAGGAAGAGGGAGGTGCAACCTAAGTGACAAATACAGCGGTTCAGATTTCCATGGTTACAGCCAGTGTTGGGAGTAATGCGTTACAAAGTAACAAAGTACTGTAATTCCACTACTTTTAGCGGTAACGAGCATGTAACGAAGTATTTTTTTAAATAAATTAACGCAGTTACAATTATTGAAATTAGTTTGTTACTCGCGTTACTCTCTTTTGTGACGCGAAGCGGAGGGCCGGCAAATAGTAAGTAAATAGCTGCCTGTCAGCACAAAATAGTTGTGGCCGCCAAACGTTGTGTGTCACAGAATAGTCGCCGCATGTAAACAGCATCGCGGCGCTCATGACGCTGCTGCAGGCGCCGCTCCACGCAAACAACCACGGCTCCACTTTACACGGACTGCAGTGCAGCCGATAAACCCGGCAGAGCTGAATAGATTGATTGCTCTCTATGTTGAAGATAAGATGCATCCTGTCAACTGTCGAGTCAGTTGCCTTCAGGCAAATGCCTGAAAGTTATTTAGTATTAAGTATTAAAAAGGACTTTTGTACTATTGCTTGATTTGAAGGCCTGTTGCCAGATTGAACACTCGTATGGCTGCTCAACAGGTTTTATGTTTGATCCTTAGTCATCATTTATTATGATCCGGAGTCATCTGATTAATTTAATTCATTCATTTTTCAATTTTTCTATTACATTTTCTACATTTATTTATCTTTAAGTTTAATTGCTGTTGAATAGTTAAACATTTTCATTTCAATTTTTTTTTTTTTTTACGTTAACAGACTTCTAATTACTCATTTAATCTTCTCTATTTGTCAATAGTTAACATCCATTAAACATGTTTTTTTTATTATGAATTTCAATAGGAGCTGCAGCCAGGCTCAAAATAAAGACACCAAAACGAACCTCTTTGCTTCACATGGCATGGATTCAAGCTGAATCACTGGCTTATGTCAGATCCAATCCAAAATGAATCGGTGACCTACTTAAAAAGATGCATCTCTACATAAATAAACACAACATCGGCCTGAGACAAATATTTCATAACATCTCCAGCTTAGCGCGACAATACAGTCTGGATGATTTGTATTTTGGTCCTCAAACATCCGAAGAATTTGTTCATTCTGTCAAAGCAGCTGCTCTAGTTTTCTTCCCATAACCTGTTAGAATACCAATAATTGTGTTTCCTTTGCTGTTGAGTTTTTGTTGTTTTTCTTTCAATGGAACCGCGTTGTCCTCTTCCAGAGTGACTCAGTAAAACATCCTCTCTCTCGTTACTTCCGGCACTCGCTGGAATACCTGCATTAGACACACAGCGGGAGACGGCGATGATAACAGAAAAACGAGCTGCAGCATTTAGCCGCAGGGTAAATTGTTCTATAAAGGTGTTGATGCCTTTTTTATCAGCGAGCTCGGCACCGCAGGGGATTAGTCTTTCATATATCGATGTATACGTGTAGCCGCACACAAAAAAATCTGTTCATTCTTTCATGCATTTGGAAGGTGTCTCTCTTTTTTTTCTAAGCTATTCCTGTCTTAAACTTTATGGAAGAAAGGTTCACTTGAGGGCAAATAATCACCATGTTTGTTAAATGAAGGAATGGTCAGTGCGGAATATAAAGAAGCTGCTCTGAAAGCCTGAGCAGCCTGAGGATTTCCTGATCATTTGGCAAGAGTACATTTTCCACCCGGCCGGGTCAGGAAGCTTAGCCGTTGCTGTTCCTCTTTAGCGTAGCTGTGAAATGCCGCCTACGCTTCTTTCTTTTTTCTTTTTCGGGAAGGCATTAAACTATTAGTCCTTAACAAGACACCAAATAGTGATCCGCTGCTGTTGGTGGTTCGCCAAGCATCTGGTTCTCACCCGCTGGATTGCTTCAAAATAAAGGAAAATGATTGGCTGAATAATTGCTTCAGAGTTGAACTGATCATGTGACTGAATTCTATCTGTCACTTAAAGGTTTCCAGAGAGACACGACACTAGTTGAAAGTGAATTCTTCTTTGTGGGTAGAAAATCAGAGGCTGTAGTTCTCTCAAGGTACAGATGGAGACGTTAAAAGAGGAGTGAAGGCTGATGAAGAACAGTTGACACGAGTGGAAGAGAGGAGGAAACTTGTTATGTTAATGAGTGTTTAAACGCACAATAAACAGGGATTCATTACAGGGTGTTTCTCGGCGTTTGGGGTATTAACGGCTGCAGTGTTTTTGTTTTGACATTAAACGCCGGCAGCTGTTTTCTCATCGAAGGTCTTCGTCATGAGAGAAGAACAGACGTCTGACGAGTCATACGGCCGTTAGGAAGTTCATCAGATTATTACTTCCCTGCTGTTTGCGTAGACTCGGAGCCAGAGTTCTGTCTATCGGCCGGCTCCCAAAGATGACCACATGAATGATTAACAGAGGCGGCGCTGGAACATTGTGTTAAATTATATAATAAGGAACATCCAGTGTCATCAGTAAACCTGATCTGCTACTTTTCATCCAATTACTCAGTCTAAAGCTTTCCTATGATGCTTCTGCTCAGCACGTGTTTCCTTTTTTCAGTCCGTGTTAAAGTGAAGAGCTGAATTGGCATGTTGTTAACTATAGCGATGGGTGCTACAATAATGTTTGTTTTTTTCCTATCACACACTGATATCTTGTTGATTTGACATCTTGTATTCCAGAGGCCATAAACTGCAGCCTTGAATATCAGCTGTTAAAATACAATAAACTACACTTTACGGATAAAAGCAACCTTACATAAACTCCAAAAGGACAGTAGAAAAGAGAAAGCTGTGCTGTGAGAATCCGACCAAAGGGCACGGCAAGATATTGAATTTTCTATTGATTTTGTTTTCAGGCCAGTGGGCCATACATTTCCACTTAGTTGGAATTTAAATCAATAGGTAATTAGTTTCTTATTGAAATTGCAAGGCCCTATCTTTACGTTAGCAGACCAAACACTAATCCTTCTGGCTAACGTCCCTCCGTACCCATTACGCATGCTTTCACACTGTAGATGCATTGTCAAAGCAATAGTTGGCTTCGAAAATGGTAGAAGAGAGAACCTCCAGGAGTCACCGTGGGTGGAGACTACGAAAAGTCATAGGAATTATTCTTATTTTGAATTTGGAAAGCCACAAGATCTCCCACACTACATCCTAGTTCCACAACTTCCAAAAGCTAATCGATGCTGTAAAAGACTTTTCTTTAGCTGAGGAACTTGAACTTTGGCGATGTCAGATCCTCAAACTGCAAACCAATGGAGCACCGCGGCCAACAACTCATTCAGGTCTGGTCCTTGTTGGGCTATGAGGAGCTGTAACAGTGTGTGAGATTGTTTGTGTTTGTCGTAGTTAGAGAATCCCTTCATTTTGTAAATGGGCAAAACCGCAAACAAACCAGACCAAGTCTAAATAAACCTATTCCGCTGAAGGGGAGCATCTGTTGGAAATTCTGGGCGGCGGCTGAACAGCCTCTCGTCCTCCAGCTGCGCCGCTCTCAGCGCCTCCTTGAACCCTCCCTCTGTCTCGCGGTCTGTCTCCTGAGCGCGTCGCTCCGTGGCAGCGCCGATCCTCCGCCTGCTCTGTGACGCACTCGGGCTCATTTCGCCGGGCACTATTTTAATCAGACAAATGATCTGCCACTGTCGTGTTTTTTTTTTTTATTGCCCAGTGCGTCCGTGTGTGACGCGCGTTGGTTCTTTGTAAAGAGAGCAGATTCGGGCACTTCCCCACATACAGGACTTTTCCTGGTAACACAGAATATGATTTGCAGCCCTCTGTTGATTAATGCAACAGTCATTTAAGTTCTCTTTGTTTTGTTCCTCAGGCGGGGAGTCCGACCTCGGTCAACGCTCCATGCAGTTTCTCCAGGACGTCGGTTTCTCCCTCCAGCCAGGACATTTGCAGGTACAAACCACCTCGTTTCCCTGACATGAACACCTGAGAACAATACATTGAATCTATATCATTGTTCCTAATCTGATATGTGTGTTACTTGCTGAAAAATGTTAAACCCCATATCCCCTTTTTTTTAAGTTCCTTTGTTTTCAAATGCATGATATTGTTTTCCCATTTCTCTTTCTCATTCCTTCTCCTGCCGTTCCGCCCCACCGTCCCCGATCGCAATCCGCTTTCATAAACGCACAAACGCGGCGTAAACTAGCTGCCCGGTTCAGGACTGTCAGAGGCAGACTGCGGTGGTTCTGTTGAGCTCAAACGGTAAAACCTGTCGCGGTTCAGGAGGTCGGTCGGTCGCCACTCTGTGCGCAGACGCCCTGCCGGCCTCTAAGCACGCCAAACAACGAGACTGGCTCTCCCTGCTGCGCCCGTCCTCCGTCAACCTCCACCCCAGCGGGGCGCTCCGCTTCTCCGCGTCACTCAATGACGTGGGCCAGCGCGTGGACAGCCTGTGTCGCGGGCTGCACTTTATAGACCGCGCCTGCTCCGAGGGAGAACTGGAGCTGAAGTCCGAGCCCCCTCGGCCCACCGGCTCGAAGCGCGCGGCGCACACACCCAGCGGCGAGCTGGCCGCGGCACCCGCACGCCAGATCCCCGGTCCCACCTCCTCGACATGTACCCGCCCCCACCTCGTCCCCGCCTTCAGCAGCAGCAGCAGCAGCAGCAACAACTACAAAAGCGCGCTGGGGACCCCCACCGCCAATGATCTCCCGTCTGCGCCTGCCGCCATCGCCCCTCCTCCTCCTTCCAACAGCCTTCTCCTGCCTCACCCCTCTCCGAGCGCCAACTTCCTGCGTCTCCTCCTCCCCTTCTCCCGATCCTCTACCTCGGCCAGCCTGCAGTGCTCCGAGCTGGGCAGCTATGAGTCCCACCTCCACGGCACCAAGTCCTCCAGCGTCATGCTGGAAGGCAGCGAGTCCGGGTTCCACGTCGAAGACCTACTGGGAGACGACGACGTGTTCGAGGAGGACCGGCTCAGTGCAGCTCCGATGAGAAGCGGCCGGCGGGACTCTCCAAAAGCAGTCACCGGGGCCGGAACCGGGCCTCTTGTAGCCCCCCTGTGCTTTATGGACGAGGATGTCGACCTGGACTGCTGCCCGTCCCCTTTGTCAGAGAAAACCGCGCCACTGTCCCCCTATTCGCTCTCTGGAGACTGGTGCAGGTGGGTGACTGTCTGGATGGTTTGATCCGCACCCACCCTTCCTGTGACTCGCTAGACCATCCCTGTGCCGTTAGTAGCACCCCAGAGCCCTGTGGAGTAGTCTACGCTTCTCCGCCAGGAGTGTTCCCTCCTAGCAAACATCTCACACATACATTTGTCCTCCAAACGCCCGCATGGGAAGTAGAGCTGTTATTCAGGAGAAGCTGGCACACAGTCCGCACACAACACCCTGAGCTGCACTGATTCATGCGTCAGAAATATAACTTAATTAAATGTTATGCCGTTTGATTTCACTTCAAAGTTACCTCAAGGCTGTCTCAGTTTTTTTGCAGTGTTTTTTAAAGTATTTTGTCTGCTGCTGAATCGATGCGGCATTAACGTGTCCTAGGCTGTGAAAATTGGTGATTGGTTTTGTCTATAAAATGTCATTTCTGCAGTAGAGGCAGTACCAGGGGGCAACGTTAAGTCAGACAGAAAGGCAGAAGTCAGGGTAGAAAATATTATTATCATATATTTGGGAATGAAGTGTTTGTCTGGGGAATTGTGCAGCAGAAGCAGACGGTGCACGATGATGGACTTTGAACCGGCGTCTCTTTTTTTTTTTTTTTTTACGTGGCAGTCTGTGTGTAATCTGATGAGTCAGTCAATGTTAGGAATGACCGATTGTGCGTAATATTTAATCTCTGACCAGGTCACGATCATGCTGGGACGCAGAAGATGTTACTAAGTTGCAAAGTAATAGAATTTGAGCCCTTCGTAGCTCACGTAGAGCTTCTGTTACGGTCACAGTATCTGTCTGTCAATACTCTGCCTGGTGGCTGTTCACTGGATTGATGACGGTTAAGTCCTGGGGGACAAAGAAATGGAATTTGTTATTTCTCTCAGCTGTTGTCTGTGCATGTAGTCAATTTCCCATTATACGTCTTACACTGCACGTCAGCTGTGGGCTCAAAGAGAAACTTGAGCTTAGAACTGGCAAGGTGACCAGTTCAGAGATCAGGAGACAGATTATTGGCTTCGAATAGCCTTCGTAGTCCCGGTGCACACACTCACACAAGCAAAACACTCTGTGGAAGCTCTCCGTCAGGTGGCTTGAGGTGTGTATTAAGACCGCAGAGCGGTCACCTGCAACAATGTGTGTTAGGTTGTTTAAAAATCACCTGCCAATCATCGGTAGTCTTACTCTTTATCAGAAATATCACATTGTAGACTAATTACAAACACATTTACCCTCTATTTAAGAGGAAGGAAATACACCCGCGTGTATCTTGATAAACATATCAAATGCATTTCCTTCCTCTTCAATATTCCCAAAGCTGCATTCTGTAAATTTTTTAGAATCCCACATTGCTTATGTAACCCCTCGGACGTTTGATAAACATGGCCGACCTTTTGAAGTGAATGATAAGTTTGTAGTCGGACTTGATCTCCTCCAGTTTTTGGGTTTGCTTTTTCTCCCCTTTTTGTTGGTGACTGGAGGCTTGCGAGCTCTGCTTCGATGCGTTGTCGTCCTCGAGCATGTGCTAAAGACGCAGCAGATAGAGACAGAAAAGGGACGGTAACCTGGTTGCATCGAGCTGTTGATACCCACAGATATACCTTTTTAAACTTTTACAATTTAGAAATAATCCAATAGAATCTGTTAGTCCTTACTCCTTCTCCCAAAGGTAGTTTCTTATCACAACTAATATTCTCTTTTAAGCCAAGGATGGCCACAGAAATTGAGACAAGTAACTTCTTGAGCATGCAGTGAGGGGAAAGGGAAATGGCTTCCAGGCGCTGCAGCCTTTGCAAAATGAATATGCTTTTTTGTGATTAGCAGTGCAGAGTGTGAACGGTTCAGCCTGTAAACTGGAAAGTGAACAGAAGAGAACAGAACGCCTCAGATGTCACACTTCTGTTTAGCAGAAATGTATAAACGGATTAAAAAATAAATTGATAATTGCTTGCCTGGAGGGTTGGGATCTTAAAGCAACACATGGGGGTAGTGAGTGAGGAGTGCAAAGATGGGGTGATTGACACAGAAGAAGTATGAGGAAACACAAGAGTGAACACTAACAAAGTGAATGCCTCACTGTGGTGTAATGTTGCCGAGCGTTCTTCCCTCTCGATTTATGGTACTTGTGATTTCACCGACTGGTTTTGCTTCGTGTTTTAATGCAGACACACTGAAATGGTGCCTCTGTCCCCCTAAAATCCCCCTTTTTTTTTAAATTGGTTGTGTTTTGGCTGCTCAAGTGATGCAAATTTTATTTTAACTTGCCATGCCTAAAAGGACTATGAATGTGCTGCTGCTGACAACAATAAATGCATTTTGCTGTCTGTGATGGTCCTGGGAAATCTACCAATGAAACACCCGTCACTTTGAAAGACTGAATTTGGTTCGCTCAGTTTCTGAGATTTCTATCTTTAAAGAGTATTTGCAGCAGTTTACAGAGTATCTAGCAGATATCCAGCATGAAACCCAAATTTCTCAGCCAAAAGTCCCTGAGGTTTTCCGCCCCCCATGTCGTTATGCATCATAAACTTTCCACCGTGACTCTGTGTGGAGGTGGAATTCATTTCGCTATAGCCTCCCTCACTTAAAAAAACAACAACAAGAATTCGTAAAATAAGAATAATTCATCAATTCTATCGGAGTATGTGCCGGCCCTTCATATGAGCAGTAAGACAGTCCAGGGACTCCGGCTGGTTACTGATCCACTGTGTGGAAGAGAATCTCCCCTTTATTGTCTTGTGATCCATACAATAAAACACCGCTCAGCTCAGCCATAGCCAATCGAGAAAACACTTCCAGAAATGTTAATTGTGCCTCCTCTATCCTTCATTCCACTCTCCACCTCATCTGTTGAGAAACCCGTTGATAAGACCTATTTTTCTCCTCCTGTTTACTTTGTCTTATCTCGTAACGCTTTAACCGTGTAGTCTGAAAATACACCTTATCTTGCTCGCTCACTTACTCAGCATGTCTTCATAATGTGTTCTTATCCTCCCTGAACCGGGATGAAGTCAATCCCATTTGAGGAACCCGTTCTCTTCTCCATCTGCACCTTCTTTCAATCCGTTTCCTTGATGCCCCGAAGAAGAGCCACTGCTCTCTGCCAAAAACCCACTCACACACATACGTACTGTGATGAGCATACTCTATATAGATATCATTAATAAACTGCTGAAAGTAATGAATAGTAGTAATATTAGTACAGGTTGTTGTTGTTGTTTTAGTACAAATGCAAACTTGATCAAACTAAACATTGAGTGGGAAGAATAGTAAATAATATTAGACAACTTGGATCACTTCTTCCAACACCTAAAAATGTTGTTGCTAAGTTTTGAATTGCTTTTGATCTATTCTGTGCTGCGACGTTGCAAGTACACAAGAGGATATTTTCTGAAATTGTCATTTTGATTTGCAACTGAAGTGCTTTGGATTGAGTTGGACTTGATTTGAATTTATTCATGTGGGACATGTATTGTCTTCCGGGTGCGTGTGAAATCATGTTCCCACCTGTCTTGCTTTCCTAAATCGTTTGCAGGTGTGGAATTAATGAGCATTTTCTAAACACCTTCTCCTATTGCTGCTGGGAAAGCCTGCAGGTCGGCGGACATATCTTCTTGAAACTTTCCTGGAGGGGAAATATGTCAGCTTTGCCTTCGACCTTTCCTCTCTCACCTCCCCGTCCTCCTCCCGTTACATCTGCCTCATGGCTTGTTGTTGACTGTTTTTCCTTTTGTCTCCTGTAGGATTTGTCACTGTGAAGGCGATGAAGAGAGTCCCCTGATCACTCCGTGCCACTGCACGGGAAGCCTGCGCTTCGTCCACCAGTCCTGTCTTCAACAATGGATCAAGAGCTCGGACACCCGCTGCTGTGAGCTCTGTAAATATGAGTTCATCATGGAGACCAAGCTCAAGCCACTGCGCAAGGTAAGGCATGTTTAGGATTGGATGTGTGCATATTTATCTGAAGTCAATTAATGCACTTATTAATTAGTTCGGCCTCTACTGAGTCATTTTACCTCCATTTGTCCAAACTTCCCTCCTTCGACGTGACGCAGAAAATACCTGAAGCTTCCTCCAATCAGCCACACGGATAAAACAAGCACAACACCGATTTTTGAAGTGTTTTTCAGAAGTGGAAGTTGTTCTGCAGGAGGAGGCGGAGATGGAAGACTCCCATTAAAGCCTCTTATCATTGGCTGTGGCCCGGAGATAAAAGGACACTAATTAAAATCCCTCCACCCTTCATTAGCTGCACAACGGTTCCCTGAACAAATGCTCGGCTGTTAATAGCTTCTGAATGCCGCCGGTGGACACTGAAGTTGTTCAGGGATCAGATGAGGCCGTCGACTTGTTGTAACGTGTTTATGGAAGCGCTCCGAAGGCCCGACTCGTCCAAGTCAAAGTCAATCAAAGGAATGCTTTTTGGGATGATGAGAGGCTGCGGTGCTTATTCACAGAATTGATTTGATGATGTGCGCATTGTGTTCAAATGTCTCCGCGGTGTCGTCGCTTCATGTGTTGTGTTGATGTCCTTCCTTTGTGCTCTCTGCTGCAGTGGGAGAAGCTACAGATGACGGCGAGCGAGAGGCGGAAGATCATGTGTTCGGTTACCTTCCACGTCATCGCCATCACCTGCGTGGTGTGGTCTCTCTACGTCCTCATCGACAGGACGGCGGAGGAAATCAAACAAGGTCAGCGCAGACCGGTGGCGTAGCGCGGTTGTTTGTATCGGGTATGGTTAGATGTCTGCAGTTAGATGTCGTAGTTATTTTAGGAGTGTATTGGAGTATTGAGTGAAATTTGGTGTAAGTGTTTGCGTAATTCACTTTCATTCAATTCGGAAGCTGCGTGGGCACCGGGGGCCCAAAAATATGCAGACATGGGAGACATTTTCTGTCTGTTTGGAATTTCACTTCAATTCAGTTCACAAAAGTTTAGAGATAAAAGAAAAGAGATGTTGGATCTTTCCATCCACCATCATAAGATCACGTTTTGAGATTGTGACTTTCAGAGCGAGCTGGTTTTGGTTCTTTCGTAACTTCAAGGAAGCTGGATCAGGTTTTGTGTGCCTGATCTAATGATGAATTGAAAGTCACCACAGTGATTCAACAAAAGGCCCTCGGGACAATAAAGATGTGTGCGTTGTTCAAGCATGTGGTCAGCAGGCCGTTGGGGATCCTGAACCGCTCCTTATTTCTATCTAAAGCGGTCGGCACCACTGAGCTGGCGGCCGGTTGATTAACGGCGCGCCGTGGCCTCGTCATCTGGGCGAAAACCGGAGACGGCTGGTTTAAGCGCGAGCTGTCGTATCATGCGCTGGCACCGCTCGCTCCTCTTTGCCATATTTGGTGCTTCTGAGGCCGCATACAGATGGAGGAACAGGCTGTGCCTGTTTAGCCGACCTGATGATTCAGGCGTGTTAGAATCCCTGTGGGCTGTCAGGTTCAGTCACCATGGCGATGCCAAATAGCTCCTCCACCAGTCCTGTTCGGGCTCTGCAGAGTCACACAGAGACGCGCTTTAAGGTTTTATTCTCTCAATTTGTTTGCAAAGCGTATTAAGCTCCAAGATGCTTTTACTGTTCATGTTCATTTTAATGTTCATGGTTGTATGTTGAGTCCAACTATAATACTTTGTATTCAATCTCTGCGCCTTTTGATCAGTCTGTTTGTGTGTCTTTGGTAATACGTGATACTTACACTCTCTTCACTCATGCAGCCGGCAGAATCCCAGGTAAACATTTTAACTTTGGCTTTCAAATTGTGTTGGGTTTTTTTTCTGTCATGTGTGTCTGTCTGGTTCTTTTCCAACTGCACTTCCCTTCCCTTGTCTGCCTTGATTTCAGGATTAAAAAAAAGACTCTTTCACCCGTAAAGCCGAATTTATATTCACAACACCTCAATGACTGTTCCAACCTAATGAATGCAGACCGACAGTGTCGAGGAACATGCTGTGATGTTTTTCATGTGTTGTACTCTGTGTCTTAATTAAAGCAAACCTCCCTAACATATTCTCACACAACAAACAACACATTAATCTCTTCTCATGAAGTTATAGAAACATTGTCAATATCTGATTACACTTCCCGGAATTTACATATTCTCTACCTCCAATTTGCTGCAGCTGCCTTAGGACACATAGAACGTGTTTTGGCACGGTTTTGCAAGTTTACTACAAATCACCATTTTTTTTAATTGCTCGCCGTTTCTTTTTGTTATGTGTATTGTTTAGGGGCCATTAGATGTCTTTAAATGGACAGAAATATTTGGGGCGTATTTGTTTTTAATCAGACTTCAAACCTGCATGAGATGGATGACATTTATTTATGTTCCACTATATGCAGTTTTGTGTCACCTTGTTGATGCATTTAATAAATCTGGAAATCGTATCTAATTCAGTGAAGTGAATATCTGAAAAATCCATAAACCTTCATGCTGAAGTAAAACTAAATCACAATTATTTCCCAAATGGACTTTTCTGGTCCATGTTTGACTGGTGGCCATGTTCCTTTTTTGTCTCCCCTCTGTTCCTCAGGACTCCTGGAGTGGCCTTTCTGGACCAAACTTGTGGTGGTGGCCATCGGCTTTACGGGTGGGCTGGTGTTCATGTACGTCCAGTGCAAAGTCTACATACATCTATGGAGGAGGCTCAAGGCTTACAACCGGGTCATATACGTCCAGAACCGGCCAGACACGTGTAAAAAGCTGATACTGGAGAAGCCGCCCCTCATGGAGCCCAGTGTGGAGAACAAGGAAGCTCTGGTGCCAGCCCTGTCGGACACAAACTCCTCCCAGTACACAGAGACAGAGGACTACAGTATGGACGTGCTCCATGTCTGACCACTCGGTTCATGCCATCGGTTAACCTACTCACACTTTACACAAGGGCCGGCCTACAGGGAAGCTGTGACTGAGGAACGAACACCCACTCGACCCCTCACTCTGATCCCAGACCCGCCGTCCTCCTCTGGGCATCTTATATATTCCAACACTTTTTCCAAGGAGATGGACAGACAATGGCGATCTCCCTCCTATCCACATTCCTCCTCTCTTATTCCTCCTTCCCTCCACCTGCACCCTGGATCCTCGTCTCTCTCCCTTCCTAGGACCGGACAGCTTTTGCTGACCTCTATAAATGTCTGGAGAGGCCTGGAGCGTACAACTTTACACACTCGCGTCCGCACACTTATTTGTACACCTCTGGGAGAGCAGGACTGAGACAAATGGACTCACAAACAGCCCTGGAGGTCTACACATTTCCGATGCGTGATTTCTTTGCCTGTGGGTTTGTTAGATTTGTTCGTTTTGACCTCCCGTGAGTCTTCGGGCTAAACTGCCGTGGATCAGTATGTAGCGCCACCCATTGGATCTCTGGAACATTGCAGCTACTGCCGTCTCTTTTTGCTGTGGTCTGTCTGCCCTGGAGCTGGTCCGGATCCCACCAGGCCCTGATCTGGACATGCATTAAAGCACTTTTGTTTTTTAGTTCCCACAACAGATCCCTTACTTTTGCCCTTTTTGGGTTCATTAAAGACTGTATATGTTGTACATGCAGGAGAGCACATTCAAACTTTAAACTCCTGTTTTGACATTTCTTTATACACACATCTACATTTATTTCAAGCCTCCTGTGGATGACAAAAAAGGAATTGGGGGGATAAAAATAAAATGGAATCATGCTTAAAGAAACATCTGAGTGGTTTAATCCAATATGACATCAGACTCGATGTTCTAATGCAGATAATGGAAAATCCAGCCACACGACTTCTGTACCCAACGAGGATCTTTCTGAAGTCTTTGAGAATGTAAACTTTTACTGTCAAAAAAACAAACAAAAAAAAAAAAATACAAAAAGGAAAAAGCAAGATTTTTATTTTTACTAGTCACAGGGAATTGGGAGATAATTTCCATGTCTTGATAACATTGTCTTTATGCCTCCTGGCATAAACTGCACCGCTCATGTTTTTCTATCATGCGAATGACACCGTATTTAAAGTGTGATATTCCATGTGCAGTTTTTAATATGCTGATTTGTTTGCTTGGTCGCAGGAAACGCCCTGGAAAATTCCCAGCTGCTTATTTTCAGTCAGTCCTCCCATCATTCAGGCAGTGCATTGATTGCTCCCAAGTAGGTGATTTTGATCCAAAAGCAGGCAGATTGTACTCTTATGTATTTCAATTTGAAGGTTGAATTCATTTCTGCTCCGCAGGACCCAGGGATTTACAATCCATCCCTTTGGTACTTTAACCAGTTCACATTCCATCCTTATTGAGCGTTTCAAGTTTCTTACTTTTGCCAGACTTTTTTAGTATTTAATCACAATACTGCCAGCATGTTGTCTCCTATTCTTTGGAGTGTTTCTTCTTCTCACATCTGGCCTCATGTTGCTCAAACGAGACAAATTGCTCCAACTTTTTGTTTTTTCAATTTCCTAGAGGAAGCACAACTTAACTACTTATTATTTCAGCATTCATGGAGATTTTGTATCAAGTGCAACAATTTAGGTTGTTGCATTGATGAACGATCAGATGCAATGCATGCATGCATGCCTGTGATATGTACAGTGTGCATCTCACCTGCTGGCGAGAAGCTGAAGGTGCCGTATGACGGAGGCAGCGGTCGGTATCACAGCCATGTGTTTTGGGGCTTACACTCATTGTAAGTGCGTTGTGTATGTGGGAGCACAGTGATGCCAGGCTCATGTTGAGCCCCTCAGCCAGTCCAGCGACACGCGCATAAAAAAACAAAACAAAATTAACTGTTTGATACAAATATAGTGTCTGTGAACAACAATGGTCCAACAACATGTGTGACAATTACTGCTCAGCAGCAGCAATAACCGAACTCCGTGCTTTTGTCTTTTTGCAACAGTTCACACTGCACCTGTGTATATGCCCCACGGTGACTTGAGTCTGATATAAGTTCAATACATAATACGAGCCGAAGGAGTTTTTGTGCGTCAAGTTGAATTAAGACCTACTAATGAAAAGCTTCTCTGAAACTTTGATACCTGTGAGGCTCAGCGCAAATAGACAGATTAAAAAGTGCAATTACCCTTTTGTTGATACTATAGTTATGTAATGGTGTTTAATGTCCAGATTGTCCTCTGGGTATACAATGATTATTTCTTCATTTTGTGTTGTATTTATTTTGAAAAGAAAACCGTACCATCATTAGTAATTTTATGCAACTTACACTTTCTTTCCCATGCGTTAATGCCTAAACATCACTTTTACTCTCTATTTGGAAGTCCAGATATTAGAGTTGCAAAAATCTTGATTGTGAATACCTGCTCTATGGTCTTACTTTATGAAAAGCTTGATGAATCTCATCCAAAATGTATAGACATAACCGCAGAATCCCATTCAATTGTGTAATCGTTTTCAAATAGAAAACCTGGAGTAATCAGAAATAGTTTCCTTGAGATGAAAGACAAAACATGGACTGTGGTTTGGGATTTTTTCTTTTCTTTTTTTCTTTCTACTCATAGGAGCTGGCTCCTTTCATGAAGTCCCAGACAGCATTCGGGGCCACTTTCGGATGCTTTTATATGCAGACATGTTTCTCTCCAATAGCAGCTTTTGCTTCTTTCTCTCATGAACTGATTTCTCCACGTTATGAATCCGATTGAGCACATTGTCTTGACCCTGCCGCTTACGTCTGATCATGTCTGGGAATAGTGTAACTTGCATAAAGCTACATTTGTTTACTACTGACTGGACTTGAACATATATGACTGTTCCCCTGTCTTATGATATCATTCCACAAGTTTGTCTGTGAGTTTACTTTGAAATAGTAACAGTAAATTTGTAAACGTACTTATGTTTTTAAAATAAATATTGTTGTGTTTTCAGTATAATTTCCCATTATTGAACAAAGTATGTAGAATTAAAAAGAACAACCAAATAAAAATGAAGTTACTTTTAACGCTTTGTGTCTTTCAATGTGCGCCATGTGTTTTTAATTCAAATGTATGAGGATCTTTACACATTTTACATTTGACTAGTGGTCACCAAATATATAAAAGGTTAATATTTCAGTATTATCCGATGTTGAGCATCTAACAAAGAGCAGACCAAGTTGAGGCTTTCTTTTTCTTTTTCAGCATATTTTAATATACAGTAGTGCAGTAGTAAAAAGTAGCAGTTATACGCTCGGGTGACAGTGATAAAACCTCGTCGAATCTCAAGACAGATCCAGGATTTCATTCCTCAGACGGCGACGCTGTTTGGGATTTTGTCGGGGGACATGTTGTAGTACGGCAGCTTCTTGCCGTCGTTCCTCAACTTGATGGAGCCGCTGATCTCCGCCAGCTGCTTACTGAACTTCTCCATGGCCGCCTTCACTGGCTTCTCTATGAAGTGCTCGTCCGGATACATGCCCAGGTACAGCTGCAAGGAGAGAGAGGCATGGGGGAGACCCAGGATCCCCCCCCTCAAGGAATTAGAGACACAACTCAAAGTTTTACAACCAACCAAAACGTGTGCGTGTGTTTGTAACATCATTGCCCCAGTGTTTAGACATGGAGGGGGGAGGGGGGAGGGGGGGGGGGGGGTACCTCTCCCTCTTGGTACTGGCTGAGAGCCCAGACGGCCCCCAGGTGCCAGCTGGAACGTCCGCGATCAGGGAGGCTCTCAATGATCAAGTTCACATTTGCGAGGCCCTTCTGGGTGGGCGGGGGCCTTCTCATGGTAGACGGGGCGTTGGGGATCCAGGAACACCAGTCGTACTACACAATGGACACAAAGACGCGGGATGTGAACGAGTACTAGTTACAGCGCTACATTCACCTGACAGCTGTGATTACCAGTTACTTTACAGATTTGTGCCCAAAAAGCTGGTTCCTTTTACCCACAAATGAATCCGCTTTTTGGGTTGTTTATCTATTACTCACCTGTCCAAAGTTGACCGCCGCATGCTGGGCCGAAGCAGTGAACACAATGACGGTCAGATACTCTATCAGCGCCTCGCGTGATTTCAGGAACTTTGGAAATTCTGTGCAAAGACAAGATCTAAAAAGTCAAATAAATCTGTGTGCAATATCGTTGCACAGTGCAAGTGATGGAGAAATGCAGTTTGCAGAGGTTTCACAACAGTCCAGCAGTGACACCATCGCCGCCTTGTGGCTTCCTGTCTTCCCCCCCTAAAACTATTTCTCTGTAAGCGAACTCAGGCTTTTGTTGCAACCTTAAAAGAAGAAATTACACAAGGTGCCGGTGATGTGTACCCACCGCAGTGATCAAAGTCCTGCATTCCGAAGCTGCACACGTCTTTAACAAAGGCCTGGATTTCTTCGTCTTCCTGCAGCGTCTCATCGCTGGTGTAGTAAATATGCACCACATCAGACACAAAACTGCCAAAAAGAAAACAGTCAGGTATAGAGAAAATGAATAATGCTTATCTCACAAACGGCCTCTCGCCCTCAAACACACAAATTATCCTTCCGTGTGGTCTACAAAGAGTCGTTTGTCACCTCTTGGTGGCCTCCCACACCTGGTAGCCATCGTCCCTGTAGAAGTAGGTGGGCAGCTCCTTTTGGTCGTCCACGCCACGCGACTTGATCATATCCGGGAAGCACAGGGACCGGAAAGTCAGAGACTTCATGGCCTTTTGAATCATCTGGACGTGGCCGCCTCCGCCCGTTGCGTTCGCCTTGACGGGGATTGAGAAGATACGGCATCACTCTCACGGCTTTTGAGATCTTTGTTTTTCTCAGTTTTTTCCATTGACATTCACAAACTCACTTTGTCAAAGATGCCGCACTCACAGATGAGCTGTTCTCTGGCCTTGGTGTTGATCGCCATAGTAAAACGGATATGTGGGATGAGTAGCTGGGAGAAGGAACACCAATCCATTGAATCGATCAGACCAGTGAATCAATCGCTCAGTTGACGGGTCAGAGTTGTACCTTGTACACAGGGTGAACAGCGGGGAGCTGCCTGTACATGGCAACAGCGAAAACCTCCGTCATCAGATGGGTCCTGAGCAGGTGTGTGATGGTCTGGTGGTAGTGGAAGTCGGCTGAGCGGACCCAGATCTTGGCGAGCAGCCAGTCGTACTCGCTGTCGGTGGGCAGGAAGATTGGGTTGTTTTTCCCTGGCGTCTGCCCGAGCTGGGAGAACACGGAGGACGAGGAAGAAGCAGGAAGACGTGTATTTATACTGGAAGGTTTCCCCTCACGTGCTGCTCGTCATCACCGTACCTGTATGGCTATGGGTAGGATCTTGTTCTCGATGTTCTTGTAGATCAGACAGATGGGAGCTGCCAGGTACTGCAGCGTGCACGGATCGGTGCTGTTGGGTTTGATGTCTGCCAACACCTCGTAGTCCGCTATATAGACGTTACCTGCCTGGAGCCGGAACATTGATTCACACAAATACGTCAGTGGGAGAATTTAAGTGAGACACAACTGAAGAGATTCACAAAAACAGACAGCGTCTCACCTCTATTTCCTCCTGTAGAGTCAGATCCCTCTCCAGGCTGACAGAAACCATCTCATCTGTGACAGGAAAATTCTCGGGAAGTTTGGTGCATTTTTGGATCACTACGGGGTTGCAGCCGTTTAGAAATTGGTACCCAAACATGAAGTCCTCCTTCCAGTGTTGCATCACATACTCTGGACATAATAAAATGTAATGCAATCAAATGTTACATAATACAGTTCAATGTAATTGGATGTTATGTAATGCAATTTGATATTGTGTAACATATATGTGAGGCTGACCTGAGATGGTGTTTTGGATTCTCACAAAGATCCTCTCAAAGTCACCAAAGTCACTCCAGGAGGACTGGAACATGTGCATGAACTGGTTCACACACAGGTTCTCTATTCTGAAACGTCATCATCATCATCATCATCATCATGATTATCATCATCACATGTATTATCATATTCATATCAAAAGGGTTGACGTATTTTTGTGTCAATCAAGCTCTAAATGGTTTATAGTTAGGAGGACATTTTGCAGGAATTGGCCTTAAAACTAAATAACATTTACCACAAGATGCTGCATTTTGAAATTGTGTCTTTACCTCATCTGTCGAGTCCACGTAGTGTTATAATTTTCTGAACTTGAAAAGCAGAAGTACTGTGTGGCGCAAACAGTTTGGGGTTTGTTTCGTTATTGTTCCCAAGTGCAAACTCTCACCCCTGCATGCGAGGGCAATGCAAATGTCCCTGGTAGTAAACACACAATGAACCTTCTGTTGGTCTACTGAAATCATCAGTAGGCCAACTGGAGACAGTTTGCAGCTCAACGTGTGATCGTGGCATCATGAAAGCTGAAAAACGTCTTTGGGCTTAAAGCTCTACTGACTCACTCTGTTCTGTATTAGGTGGACATCAGTTGTCCTGACAACTACCGTAAACCTGTCATAGCTTTACTTTTTCCGGCCTGTATAAGGACGCACGTACGCCTTACTGTAGTTCAGTACAAAATCCACTCCCTTCTCGCTGTCAAACTGGATGTCCCGGGGCAAATCCTTGTGTCTGTTAGCATCTATGCTCATAGGAAAGCCCGGCTGCCACTCCTTCCATCTGTAGAGGAGAGCAGAGTAGTGGGCGAGCAGCCTCGGCCTGCTGCAACACACAGCCACACACCTGCACCCGCAGGGTCAACTTGCCTGTAGGTTTTCCTCCTCGCTTCCAGCTCTTTTTGTCTGTGCCGCTTGACCAGGCTGGTCTTATCATCCTGAGGCAGGAATGCTGCAACAGACGCAACGCAACAGAGTGAAGGGACAGAGCTTTTACTGCATAACATCACTGATCACAGAGAGGAGGCCGGCGCTCCGTTCGGCAAACATCACCAAATGAACCCATGTGTACCTCTTCCGTCCCGCAGCACCACTTCGTTGTCACCCACCAGCCAGAGGAAGCAGGGGAACTCGATGTAGTCTCCAGAAGGGGTCTTGACTGTAATGTACTTGCAGTACCAGTCGTCATGCACCCAGTACTTCTTCTTTTCAATCTTCACCAACAAAATGTCCCCCAAGTTCTCCTCAACCCTCACGGCATAAGAGTCCACCTGTAATTTAGTCAGCGGCGGAATAAATAAGCTTTAAAAAATATTGTGAAGTACACGAAATTAGGTGTGTATTGTTGTTTTTGTGTTTTTTTGAGAAAAAGTGCTAAAAAACATTTAACATGTCACCACCGGAAAACATCAATGTCAATGTCTTTTTGTAAGAAACGTATATTTCCCATTCATATCATTTTAAAATTCCCACAAGCAGAGAAAGTTGGAGGAATAAAACAAATGAGACTCAAATGTGGGTTTTATTCCAAAAACTGTGTGAAGAATGTTAAGTTGATGCTACAATTTAATTCTGTTCATCTGCGCTTTACCAAGCCCCACCTCTTTAGTTAGTAAGTAGACGTTATTTATTAGCTCTATTTTATGTTTTTATAATGAAACACTATTCATAAAATTAGATCTAATAAACGTATATCTTATATTTCACCTTTTTGTGTAACAGTTTACTTAATCGAGAATATATTTTAGCGGCATTAATGAAAAACCTCAACTTTTTTTACTCAAACACAGAACAGTGTCTAGTATAATGCAAATAAAGTTTTGATTATGATAATAAATCATTTCCATTAAAATCTGCTTCACGTTCAGAACAGCAAATACTTGCTTGTATATTTCCCTCCAAAGTAAAAGCGGTTTCTTTTCTTTTTCAAACTGTTACATCTCTGTCCCAACGTCTTCCTCTTTCATGTCAGAATAGGAAGCAATCGCTCACGCAGCGTTTGTGTGTAGTTATTGATGCTCGCCACTCATCAGAATTAAAAAACAAACGTGCCAGCTACGCAGTTCTCCCCGCAGCTCTACAGCAATGTGAAGTCACTTACCGCCCCCCTCTCAAAGTCATTGTACAAAGCTTTGTCCAGCAGCGTCTTCTCGCTGCATCCCTCCGTGCCCACCAGAGTGATGTAGATATAATCATCTGTCCCCGCAAACCACTGGCTCCCCGTGGAAACAGTCACCGTGTACGAAGGCATGTCGGTCCCTCGGTCCAAAGGCCCTCTAAATATGAAGAAACCTGCAGAAAAGCTACACACACCCACAAAAGGGTTGCCTCGAGATTTTAGGTAAGGCAAGTTTCCCCTTTTCAAAGCTTTAATTCATTTACTGATGTACACTTCTCATTCCTCTTACAAAGAAAACGGCAGAAGAGGGAGGTGCAGGACACGTACCTCCCACCCTCATGCTATTGATGAGGTCAGAATACAATGCGACTGTACTTCCTTGATGTGTTATCAGTGGGGAGCAGGTGTCTTTTTACAGAACGTTGTGTACGATTTTCATAGGCTTTGTCTGCAGACAACAGCAGAGGTTTTCATAAAAATAGAATAAAGAAGAATCTCAAGGTTCCAAATTCGAGCAGTTTTACGGTACTAGTGATGTGAAGATAAAAGCAACACCCGAATATACACATCTTTTACATTTCACATTTACCAGTCAAATCAGTATCAGTGACACTGGACAACAACAGGTAGTGTTTTTCAGGTTCAGTGAAATAAATGCAAATGCATCTGTAGTTCACCTGAAACTGTAATATTTACATGAACATTAACAGTGGGTCTGTGTATGTGAAACTGTGAGATGGAATTATTTATTTCCTGATTCACAGGTTTGATTCAAGAAACTCAATGAAAGGATATACAAACATCTGTCAGATATTGTTCCTTGAAAAAAAATGATATAGTATTGGATAAGTTCCTTTAATTGTTCAAGCTCACAAATAAATTAAAAAAAACATGGGTACTCAAGAGAAGTTGACGTGTTCATGTAATTCAGACACTACTTATAAAAAGCAAGCAAAAAAGCAAACGCTGAAGAAAATGTACAATTCGAGAATAGAAACGTGACAAATGAATACATTTTCATGTTAAATCAGTCTCGAAATGATACGATTTCTTTCAGTCACAGTACTACAGTGTTCACATATATATATATATATATATATATATATATATATATATATATATAATTTGTTATTGTATAATCATCTGGTACAGAGAGCAGCAGAACAGAGCTGATCTGTTCTTGAAGGATGGATAGACTTTGTGGACGTAAAGAAAGTAACAAACAGCAACAACAGGGAAAGATCATGTATCCAAAACCAAAGGTTGGATGAAAGCACAGCAGTGCTGCAGATGAATGAGCGCATCGCACAATGCAGAAATGTGGCTGAGTCCTACATTTGGTTTTCTGAATGGTAAGTTAGAGTTTGATACGGTGCCTCATGCATTGTTGTTACATACAGTTGGCAATTAAGACTTACATAGAGGTGTCTAATGTTACGTGCACTTTCCAAGGTGATTTGGGGCAATTAAATGTTGGAAGTTTTTTAAATTATTAATTAGTTTTCTTCACTTCTGTTAAACCACACCTTCACTCCTTTGTGAAATATGTTGTAATTTTACCTCCTTGGGCCTCCGGCAGCTATTGAAGTGAAACAATGTGAGAAACAAAAGACAGTACATAGAAGCAATCTGTAAACACAAATTTTAAAAAACGGTCAAAAAAATCCCTTCTATTAATATACATCTAAAAGCAGAAACATTAACTGAAACCATGCGAAGAAACCCCAGTAAAACATAGGAATCACTGTGGTGAAGTAGGACACCGTTGAATGAATGAAGGACGATGCTGAAGAGGTTCCCGTAAACATGCAGATCAGCAGTGCACTTGAGATCTAAACGGTTTTTATTCAGTCATAAGCGTTGAGTATTTCCGGGGCAATAACTCCTAAAAGCCACCGGGAAGCTCTTGTGAATAGCTTCAGCAGGGCCGGGTTAAAAACACTGCATATATTATACTCACTATGTGGTGACCTGCTTTGTAGATGTGTATGAATATTGTGTTCAGCTCTGACGGTAAATAATACAACTCATATTCAATGCTGCCACCCAGTGGCAACAGGTAACTTAATAAATAAATGAAGAAAAGGCTCCAACGACGAAGTGCAAATTTTTCCATTAACGTCCCTCCAGACATGTCAGAGCAACATCCACATCATGGTAAAAACTCAAAATACCTCTCAGACCACAGCGGCGAAACAAACCAATACCATTACAGCTACAGGCTGAAAGTGCCCAGTAACAAAAAAGGAACAGGAACTGCTCCAATTAAAGGGTTGCCAATAAAATGCTAAATTATCTGAAATCATGAGCCCCCTCGGTCAATACCGGTGATTGTATTAAATTCAGATTTATCTGGAGAACAAAGGGAAAGAAAAAACACAAAACTTCTTCTCATTAAAGACATTTCACCAAAAACCTGCAGCCTAAATTTAAAGACACGCGAAGCTCTGAGGACACACAACATTATACAGCATCCCATTATTTAACACTCCAGTCACCTTTCAACAAAAACTATGTATTTAATCACCACGTCCGTAAAAAGAAGAACACATGATGATGAGTTTCACTTCAGAGTTCCCTTCTTTGTAGAGAAAAGACGCCACAAATTTGATAATTTTAAGCTGCAGTCTATCTTACAACCCCTGTGATCATGCGGACACTTGTGCGAATGAGGGGGGCTTCTACACAATCAGAGGGTTGGTCTGGTGTTGCACACCACAGTGTTAATGACCATTGATTGGCCCCAAGCCGTTCAAGCTGACCTGCTGCATTCACACCCTGGTGTAGTTGCCACGTGTCGTGTGTTTAACAAACTGCTCGTAAGAGGTTGGCGACACACAAAAGCAAGAAGTAATGAGATGACACCGACATGGCGTCCTTTTTTTCTCCTTTTCCAGCGTTAACTGGAGCTCCCTGCCGCCTTCAGGGAACTCAAGGAAAAGGCAATTTCCGCACGGAGTTTAAGACGTAGCGAGTGAGCCTCCGATCGCCCCCCGCGATGGAAGCATCGAGGGCCGATCTACTTACTGACTCGGAAGGTGTTTGAAAAAAAAAAAAAGCTACTAGTTTAGGTGGAGGGTCTGCTTCATGAACTCGTAGGTGGTGAAGGCGACGGCCTGGGAGGGGACACAGCGGATGAAGTTGAGAGAAAGTCCTCGGTACAATCCCTTCTTCACCCCGAACTTGCCATAAACGTACGTCAGGGTCTTGCTCATTGATCTGTTCGTGCAGGACAAAAAAGTTAAACACTTTTTAGAATTCTTGATTGAGCTGATAGTTAAGTATTAAATGTAGCATTTTTCTTTTAACAATTGAAATTACAGCTATGTTAATACAAACAAACCATTAAGACAAATATTAGCCCATAATACAATATCTTAAGTGATGCCAAGATTTAGAAGAGCAAAGGCTCCTGACGGGTGCAGTGTGCAGATTATGGAGAGGGGCAACATCGGTGATACTTACACACATTTATCAGAGTCAGGAAGCACAGATCCTAACTGCATTCTTCTCCGAGCCACGTCCAACGGGTACCTGGGGAGAAAAGGCACAACAGTACACACACACACACACACACACACACACACAGCATTAGTAATCAGTGTGATCAATAGCAAACTCAAGCCGCTGTGTCACCATGAACACTTACGATATCGTCTGAGCAATGGCACCGGCAACCCCTCCGCAGAGCAGGTTAACGTGTGTTTTCAGAACCATGACGTCCGGGTTGTCTGATGAGGGTCGCCCCACCACCTCCGGGAAATGTTTCAAGCCGAGGCTCTTCAGGGTACCAAAGGTGAAGAATGAGAAACCTGTGGGACAGAGAGGGGGGACGGCACATAAAGAGTCAAGCCAATGGAGGACATCTTATGTAGTTCTGCTCAACAAGAACTGTTACCAAAGGCTGGTATCACTCTTTGCAATATAATCTCAATAATCACCTGCATAAGGGGCCATTCCGATAAGGGTTGGTACAAGACCCCTATAGAAGCCTGAGATGCCCCCTTCCTACACAAAGAAAACAGGTCCAAGTGCATCAGGTATATGCAGTATACACTTTTAACAATGTCAACCAAATATTTCTATGCATTTCATTTAGGCCAATGATGTTTGTGAAGACTGTGTTGCTTGTTGGAGAACCCAGCATTAAATTACCTTAAGATAGATGGTATGGAAGGCATTGGCAATGCCAGTGTAGCCATGCTCTCCTGTCACCTGGAAGGCCAGTCTAACTCGGATCACATCCAGAGGGTAGGTGCATATAACTGCAGTCATCCCTAAAAAACAACAACAGGATTTTTGATGGTTATGGTCGTGTCTCAACAGGATATACTGAGTTTAAGCACCAACACATTGAAGGTGTATTTCATTTTATGTGACAGATGTTCTAATCTCTTTATACTGATATAAGCCAAGTGTGAGCCTTCAATATATATTTTTTAAAGCTGTATTAAGGCACAATTACAAGGCGTGGCGCTCGCTTGCACGGTGGTGATGGAGTATTCAAAACATTTGGAGAAAAGTTTGTAGTGACGTCACGAATGTAACTCTTTAATTCAAGAAGGGAGAATAATGCCAATATTGAATAATAATAGGATAAGAAAAAGTTGAAGGCACAATTGTAATACTAGTGCAGCACATTATATACAACTGGCAGCGAGTGAATAGGTCGGTCCTCTCGCCAACAACGGTAATTTACCTGCCATAGATCCCGCCATTAGGCGGTGGATGTGTCCAGAGATCCCAACCCGTTTACTTAGAAGCTGTAATAAAAATAAAGCACATTTCCCTGTTGCAAAATGTAAATGTAGCAAAAAACCGCATACAGGAACAGCATGGAATCATTTCCCTTGAACGACTGCCGCCATCGGTTTTACGACCACATAGTATTATAACATTGCCGTTTAAAAGTGTTGGTCCAAACTATTGTACTGCACCTTTTTATATTTGTCAAAGGCCATGAACTGGATGGCTCCGTATGGAAATATCCGGACCATCATTGCTCCATTCCCCTTATACAAGCCAAGGAAGCCTTCTTTCTTTGGCACAGCCTTCAGAGTGGAAAACACACCTGCAAAAGAAGACGGGACGTTTCACTCGTGTGGCCCAGATGTGTGAAAAGAAACACTTATTGGTCTTCTATATTTGGCTGCTGATGTTTCTACCCAGATGTTTGTAATGGGGGTTATGGGCTTGAAGAAGAATCTTGATTCTGTCAAGAGGAGCAATAGTCGTCTTGGCACAGCATCCTGCAACACCTAATCAAAAACAGAAAAACAAGATCAACCCATTTGCTATCAAATGATTTTGTTCAAATGTAGTTATCATTAAGTGCCACTTTGCATGTCACTGCAGCACAACGGCTGGTGGACCTTTAGAAGCCAACCCGTCACATACTCTTGTGCAACATGCGTTTCAAAATAAAAGAGGTAGAACCAGCAACAACGACACAGACACTTACTTAACTGCCTTTTGCATGAATTCTGCAGATTACTCCATTTGTTTTAAGCGTTTATAACACGTATGCTGTGCTGTTGAGCTGAAGTTACCACAGCGTGCATCCAGGGTACAGAGATAACCGTCGTTTCTATTCTATCCCTTATTCGCCGGGCTCGAACAGGTGTCCACATGTAAATCATCACAGACCTTCAAACTGATGCTTAAAAGCAGATCCTACCTCCGGCTACGAAGGAGCGAAGGAAGTAGTAGTCCCTGTCTGCAGGTTTGCTGCCTCTCAAGGCAGCAGGCGTGGAGACCACAGCCTCCGATGTCATCCTTCCTGCTCAGGAATCTGCCACATCCGTGACTGTGCAGTTTGGGAAGATAATACTGTCAGCAGGTGTCATCATCCCGACGCGCATATTCCAACTGCGAACCGGACTGCTCCTTTTTTGGTGTTTGCCGATGAGTCACAGATGTCGGGGTTTAGTAGTCAACCAAATGCGGGCAGGCGGACTTCGACTTATCCCGGGGACCAGGGGGGGGGGAAGAAACTCACGCGATAATCAAAAACGGTCAGAGGAAACCAAAGAACACACGGCGCGTCCCAGTGCGATCGGTTAAGAGGAGAAGTGACGTCGGCGGGAGTCTCCAGCTTCTCGCGTGTCTGTGAGGTTCACGCAGCGCGGACACGGTTTCACTTACACACCAAACGCATCGAAGCCACCTTCAGTGTTCACGTAACGCATCCATTGCCCTTTGCCCGTCGCCGACTGACTACAGCTGACCTGAAACAGACGCGTGCTGATGACGCAGGAGGAAGGAGACAGTCAGTGGGGAGAGTGTGTGTGCGCGCGCGTGTGTGTGTGTGTGTGGAGGGGAGGGTATATTCGCATCCGGCATAGTTTTGTACTCGGAAAAAAATGACATTTTTGGACATCACAACTCCCTTTTAATTGTTTTATAGTTGAAAAAAATTTGGCATCAGGACATCAACAACTGATGAGACGGTGTTTAGTGAAATAGTCAGAGGGGTTGAGTTTTGACCTTTGGTTTGAGAATGAAGTAATCTTTCCAGGACACAAAGCTGCCAAAAATGTGAAACTTCCCTATTGCTTTTTAACATGTTTAAATGAGTGTATGCTGCGTGCACATTAATATGTGATATGTTTGATTACCTAAAAAAAACTATATTTAGTTTAGTTTATATACATACATTAAAAACACCCACATTGTGTTGTTGTTTTTTAGAACACGTCATGCAATGTCCTGGTAAAGAGTGAAAATAGTTACTGTGACCAGTCATTGTTGTTAGTTTAATATTAACCATGGCAACAAGGAACAGGGAGTCTGTCTCGTTTGAGAGACGATCCGGTCAGGGGTCAGTCAGCAGAGCAGCGCGTGTATCAACGTGTTTGTGTCTATTTGTGTGTCCGTGTGTAGCATATAATTGACAGCTACGGGACATTCCTTCACCCCGCCCCCAGTCAGACGTGTGCTTACTGCCTTCTAATAGGAGAACGCTCGCCTGTTGAACGACCCTCAAGTCAAGTCAGTGCATAAATGCGTCATTTAATAATTGATATATTATCCGACCATGTAGTGAAATATATTGTTTTCCTCCTCAACATAAAAATGTTATTTAGAATGAAACCAGGCACCACGTTGAAAATAAAGCATCAATAAACTACTCGTTATCGGAGGTGAACCCGTTGCCGTCAGCGCGCCGCTGCGTCCATTTTGCGGACACGCAGCGCGCTCGCGGGGCGCGGAAAAGAAGGAAAAGAAACAGCGCGAGCGACGCGACCGTTCGTCACGTTAAACTCCCGTCCCGGGTTTCTCCTCCGCTGCCGACGACGGGTGTCTCGGGGGCAGAGAAGAGATCGTTGGTGTACGTCTACATGGAGGAAGAAAGGGGGGCGGGGGTTCGCCAAGGGAGAGGGTGGGGGGAAGTGCACGCGAGCGCTGCCCTGGATGGATCCACCGCGGTGGAGGGATTCACGGTTCCGCGGGTGTCGTGCTCCGCCGAAGGCGACGCGTTGGGAAAACGGCCGCCCCGCTCGGCGCACGTTCACGTCGGCGCTCGTGTCGTGTCCGCGTGTCGGCGTCGAGAGAGAGAGAGGAAGGACTGAACTTGCCCGCAGTCTGCGTTCGCCGAGGAAGGAGACCGATTCGAGGGCTCGCCGCGTCGCCGGAGCGGAGTGTTATTAGCGGTTCAGGCGGTGCAACTGTCGCTTTCTGGTATGTGAAGCATTTCGGCCTTTTAACACGAGTTATATAAATACAAATTTAAAAAAAACAAAAACCCTCGCGGGCAACTAAACAAGCCGCGTCCACGCGGCGGGTTAAGTGACAGCGGTCAAGTGCGAAATAATAATAGCAAACAGCGCCGCTGAAGGCGTTTTTACACGGTAATAAACGCGTTCTTCCGCCAGTCAGGAAGCCGAAAACAGGATCCGACCTCCAGCTCGAGCCGCTCCGCAGCGTGCTGCCCTTTAACTGCTACCGACGCGGTAGTCATTCCGGCACCTACTGCAGGCTTTTGTATATTTCTTTTGATTTTGTATCTTTATTCAAAATATGGTATTGGTTAGAGGAGCGTTGGGTTTTTTGTTTTTTGACGTCAGTTTCACAGCACGTTCAAGTAGGAATTTCAGGCGGGGCAAAAGTGTCATTTCCAGCACACAAAGTAAAGAATCATTTGATAGATTTAGCTTTGTATACTGTAGTATTATGATATTTCATCTGATATCTTACAGTTTCTTTTGTGCTAAACAGTCCATATTTACAACTCTAACAAGGCATTTAACGGTGCTAAGGCTTTTCATTTCCCTTCTCTTTACTCTGTCTTTATAGATCATGGACTGCAAATACAATATAGTGATGGCATCCTAATTTCTAGTGCAAGAGAGAAAAGGAATTTTTTTTTAACACAAAATTGTGTGGCGCAAAAGATAAACACCCGGCTCCCATGCTGGCTGCAAGAGATCCTCCCCTTCACACCTGCTACTACCATGCCTGCTACTACCAAGCGCACCAGGAGACAGACACCTGCTCAGAGAAAAAATGGCCAGAAGGGAATCACCACCAAGAGGCAAACCTGTAACTCCAACAAACCCAGGGGAAGAGCCACTGAGAGGCCCCAGAAAGCACCCGCAGAACCCAAAAGGTCAACATCCAGGGCCCCCGCTCAGTCGGGTCAAAGCCCTCGTGGAAGACGGGCTAGTGGGCCCGCTAGTAAAGGCCCCGGGAGGGCCGCTGGCAGGGTCGACCGTACTGTAAGTGTAACAGGATCTGCGAGGCTTAGGCGGCCGGGCAATCTGCCTGACCCCTTTGGCGAGTTACAGGACCCCCCGGGGCGAAGGAAGTCCCTGCGTGGCACTCAGGTATCCGTTACTCCCTGCCAGCCCCTTAAACCTCGCCGAGGGAGGAGAAACAACAGGAGGGTCGCGGGTAGACGAGCGCCGTCACAGCAAGGCAGAACAAGAAACAAGCCCTCGAGCACCAGCGACTCGACTCCTGAGGAGGAAAGTGTGAATTCCGACACCTGTGATGCAAAAGAAAGAGTCTCTCCAGTCTCTCTAAAAAAGGATTTTGAAGTTCCTTCGAGAATCAAAGACCGGGGTTTAGGACTCGACGCCAGAGAGGGAAGCCCTCTCGAAGCAGATTCGCCGCCGTGTAAAGACAATCCGGAGGACTGTGTGAAGTTCAGCTGTGACGGCACCGAAACCCCGGAAGACAAAAACACCCTCAGTCCTGGCAGCAAAGGTGACCTGAGGCGTGTGATCGGTGTGCGTGATGATGTTGATGGACAGCAAAACCTCTGCAGTGACATAAGTAAAGATTGTCCCTCTGTGCTAACGAGTGTCGGTTCACCAGAGGCGCAGGGCGGCTGTGAGGGCGAAGACGCTTCATCTGTCCTTGGAAATAAGCCTGATTGCCCCTCCGGTGACGGTAAGAAAGATGATGCGTGTTCTGTCCATCAAGGGGAAGATAACAGAGTGGATCTGAAAGAAAATAGGACTGATAATAGAGCGATAGTCCTCGCTGACAGAAAAGAAAAGGAAAATCTTGAGAGAGCAGAGAGTTATGAGGATGAGAAACCAGGTGAGGGACAAAAGGAGACTCTGGATGAGATGCAGGAGCGCACGGAAAGTCTGTGTCAATTGAAGACAGGAGAAAACAAAAAGGAGTCTGATGTTTACAGCAATACTGCTGACTCCCAACCCAGCGCTCCAGCTTCCGAACCTCCAGATCCTCCTCACTCTAACAAGGGACTGGCAGCACAGTCAGAATCACCTCAGCGTGGGACGTCTGTCTCCAACACAGCTACCTCAAATCCCACCAAAGCGACCTCCACCTCAGAGGCACTTGAGCCAGAGTTTCTGAGTCGGGGTAAGACAGACGCGCAACCGACCCTTCATGGTGCTAAATCTCAATTACCTGGGTCCCCGGTTGTCGACGAACCCGCCCTGGTGGTCCAGACTGTGCTGGTAAAAAGAAATACGCCGGTTATTTTCCGTAGCAACTCCCTCAAACCCGGGTGCTTGAGGCATTCGAGCCACGGGGAACCACGCCGCCCGCAAAGCACCACGATCCAGACCAAAGACGGCGAATCTAATCCAGAGCCTTTGGGTCGCCACGGCGAGAAGGAAACGCCTTTGCCGTCCCCGCCACTCGTCCCTCACACGAGCGTGGATGCCCCCGCGGCTGACACTAAACCAAACCTCGGCGAGGACGGCGTTGCGGCGGCCGAGGCGGAATCGCTGACAAAGATGTCGACTCCCTCCCTGGACAGCAGCTTCACCTTCTCCTGCAGCTCAGAAAGCACTCGATCCTCTCTTTCCTTCGACACGGAGTCGGAGGCCGGGTACGGAGAGTCCGGCCCCAGCGTTCCACCTGGAGCCTTTGGGCCAGAAGGGGCGTTCCCGCCCTCCTGGACCGGTCCGAGGCCCCATAGGAAGGAGAAGAAGAAGCGGAGCCGGTGTGGGACGTGTGAGCCGTGCCAGAGGAAGGGCAGCTGTGGCCAGTGCAGTTGCTGCCTCAACCGCAGTACCGGCCACCAGATCTGTAAGCTGAGGAAGTGCGTGGAGCTGAGGAGGAGGAGAACGTCGCCTCTGCTCGCGCTCTCTGCAGCGCAGGTGAGTTCACATTCAAAAGCAACACATTTCAGTGGGTTTCATTGCAGTCAGGGAGGCAGATTCAGTGAATGATTTTAGTGGCCACCAACAACAAAGCGGTCGTTACTGTCTGACAGCGTTGCTTTTGATCTCCGAGGTTTACCAGAAGTCCACCGGAAGCAGCAACGATATCACGAGTTGAATAAACAGTTGATGCACGAGGCTTCCCTTTCACGTTGTGTTCCACATTTTTTCGGTTCCAACCGATGCTGCACACTTAAATTTACAGTGTCTTCCTGTTTGGACGTTGAGGAACGTGTTGAGTGCTAAAAAGGGGAACTGCTTGCGGGTGGACCCGTGTATGTGATTAGAGATGCTACGAATGCTCGCAACTTCAGGGTTGAGGACGCCTCATGTGAAGAGGGAAAGGAGTTATCACATGACAGGCGGCCGAACACGTGCATGAGTATGTGTCTGTTTTTGTTCGTCTGCGTGCGCGTGTGTGTGTGTCAGCGCCATGGTGCGACTAGGAGAATGAGTTATTTTATGTGCTGTGTAGGTGCATTTATGTGTGTGTGCATGTGGGTATTAACACAATTTGAGTCGGATGTTTTTGCACAAGGGCACTGAATGGCATTGTAACGGCACATTTTAGAACCATTAAGACGATGAATAAACACCCAGGATGTTTGTTGAGAGAGGAATTCGTCCCGGTTGATTTGAAAACAGTTATATTCTTCATTTTGATATCTATATATGATTTCTGCACATATTTTTCCACATAGAAGGGAATGTTGGTGAATGAGTAAAATACACATTTACGGTGGTGTTTATTTTTTACATTACATATCACACAGGTCTGCGTAGTGCGCGCGTGCTGTTGAAAAGCAGACAAAGATGGAAACTGAGTGGTTCTCTTAGCGGTCATCACATTGACATTCATGCAATGGCTGTATTTGTGGATTTGGAACGTGTATTTGTTTGATTCTATACAGGAGCCCGCACCAGGTGCTGATCACAATGACAATACCCCCCCTCCGCCCCACCGTGACTTTATTCTAGATGCAACAAAGGGGAACCAATGTTGCCTCTTTGTTTTTATTCAAATATATAATTTAATGAACCACGCTAAATGGCTATAAAGGGTTTACTTCATGTGTACGTAAAAAGGGTTAAAAACACTTGCTGGCCAGTCCTGTTGATCAAGATCACACACCCTTTTATGTTTCCATCTCAAAGAGGAGATCATGTAGTGGCATGTGGATTCGGTTTCTGGTCTTACTGTGTTGAGCTGCTGTGGTTTGATTGTATTGTTATTAAATATTATATACTTAACACACCTTAAAAAAACACCACAGATTGATAAATGTAAGGCTTATGAACACGAATACAAACAAAAACACCAAAAAAGGAAAGTCCGTGGTTTGTTTGTTAATAGCAAATAAAGTGAGCCTTTTTAAAAGCTCGGGGCTTGAAGGCCCCCTCGTGGCCTCGCTTTGTATTATGTAGTGAGGACAGGTCTCACTCCGACCTGGCCCTGAATGCACCGCCACACACGCTAACACGTCCTCATCAGAAACACCGTACTACAGTTCATTGAGTGCGAATGCTCCAGTATTTACAGAGTGAGTTTAACAGAAATGGTCCTGACATGTTTGGAGCTGTAGGCTGCACAACTGACTCTTTGTTGTATGGACTCACGAGGCAGATGTCAGCACTCACATAATGGTTTAAACATTTTACAGAATGTAAAAAGATGAGAATCAAATCACACATCTCTTATTGTGTAAACAGTTACCTCAATATGAGTCAGTGCTTGCATCTCATTTGAAGTAACCATGCACAAGCTCTTAGATGCATAATACAATTTATTTTCTACGCAGACAATATGGAGGCCGGACTTCAGATAAATATATTTTTGCTGGTCAGAGGCTGCAGTGGGAAGTTGCCTGAGCGTCGTTTTTCTTTTGTTTCCAGTATATGGTATTGCTAGTGCTTAGTGAAAGAGCCAAAATCTACTGTCCGGTAATCCAATAAAGTCCTGTGTTAATTAACTACGTGACAAATATAAAGCATGTAGGGCTTTCTTGTTAATTGATAACTTTAGAATATAATTCCATCAAAAACCATGGATAAACATATTGAATTATTGCCATGCCCTAGTTATACAACATCTACATCTGTAAGTGACTTCCTTTTTGACAAAAAGCAGCACTCACAGATTGTAACCATTGTGTAAGTAGTGTAACTATTATCTTTGCTGTTGTGTCCTTCTGTCACTGTATTTATCAAGACCATGCACCTGGTGAGGTAGACTTTGCTTAAGTTTGAGGTGCACCATAATTACATAGTACAGCAGAGATCAGCACAATGCAGCTGGCACACTATACTTTCTACAAATAGTAGTCTGCATGCTTCCAGTCAGCCAGCCAGCTCAGCCACATCTCCTCCTGCAAACTAATTAATTTCCGTCACTCCTTTTTTTTCCGCTGCAATGCATTTGCCAGAGGAGTAGCCCAGCTGAGATAACACGTGGATTAAGAAAACACTTGCCGATCCCTCAGTCAGGACTCTGGTCGGGAGGGAAGGCAGCCTGCAGCCCCCAGCCGTGACTGTTGGCCTTGCAACTGATATTCAAAGATGTGTGTGTGTGTGTGTGTGTGTGTGTGTGCATGTTAATGATTGTTACCTTGATTTTTGTGTCAAAGGGGGACATTCATGCACATATCCGTATGCATGTATCTGAGTGTGTGTGTGTGTGTGTGTGTGTGTGTGCATGTAAGGTTTTTAGAGCCTGAGTCTTTTATGCATTGAATCCCCCCACAACATTCTCTAATTGAACCAACCTAATGTAAAGTGAGAGTGATTTGTCCCAGCAGACGCTTCTGTCAGGTCACCTCTTCCCCCTCTCTCTCACACACGTACACACCCACAGTCTTCGACAGTTGCCATGGCGACCTCATTGTCTGGTGCTCACCTTTGACCTGCCACGGTTGTCTGATGGAGCATTCTCAGGGTCGTAAGTAGGATAAGTGGAGATAACCAGCAAACGTGCACTCCGGTTTTCAAAATTGAACTCTGTAACCTGTATACAGGTAATTAGGTTAAACTGCTCAGAATGCCCTGCTCATAGTGGGTCAGCCTGCGAAGCCTTAAACATGACAAAATTGCCTTCATTATCTAATCAGTAAACTGGGATTTGGGTTATTTAGCCAATAAAGTCATAATATTATCCTTATTTTCTTATAGATGCTCTTTATGCACCATTTATGTATTTGTAACACAGATGCATTCTAAATATATAGTAGTCTGTGGAACTGGGTTATACTATTAACTATGTTGTCAATATTCTATATTGGGAGCAAGCATTTAACATTCCGTTTTATTGACCTCTGTAAAACAAAACAAAAATACAGGAAATAATACACCTGTATCATCATCAACAATGATAAGATTTCATGATTTTTACTATCTATAACCTTTATTATTCTGCAAGATATTTGATCTATAATGCACATTCCGGAGCCCTTGTTGCATCGGTGCGTTTGTACCATGTCCTGATTGTTGTAAGGCTAAAAGTCCCTGGATGAGCTTTGAAGTTGTGCCACTTGGTTTCTCTGGCTAAAAAGAAATTTTCACTTTGCCCCCCCCCAACAGAAAGGCCACTCAAATCCTAGAAAAGGGGTACACAATGGCCTCCTTCTGTAGGAACCAGAGCTTAGTCATGCATCAACCAGACCTGTCTACCTCAGAATATATCTTACACGCCTGACAGGGACATGAACTCCTCTCGCTGCCTCCTGCCATTATCTCTCTACCTCTGACTGCCATCCACTGAGTTGAAATGATGTTCATCGCTTTTGCCTGGTCCATAATTCCCTTTGTTCATCGTTCATTATCCTCTCAGCCCTGTCTGTAAGTGCAGTCGGTCTTGGAGGTCATTTGCATCTGTCTGCACACATATTTGTGTGTGTGTGCGTGAGTGCATGCACACAGGCAGTCATTTGGCCAACATGCCTACTAAGCATGTTGTACTAGCGCAAACTTAAAAAAGCCTTTTCCTGTGTCTGTGAGAGGATCTGGGGCCCCCATGTTGCTCTGCCTGCATGGTGTTTGTGTGTGTGTATTTGGGTCAGTGACAGTGTGTGTGTCAGTGTTTACTAAAACCGATGGACGGGCACACCTTCCACCGTGAATCCTTCTCAAGGTGAAAAATATTTTCTAGCCAAAGCTACTCTACAAAACTCAAACCCACAGTGCTGTGATCGGAGTTAATACTTCATTGTCGTTGTGTACAGATTATCAGCCTATAATGACCAAAATCCACAGGACATGGATGGCACAGGCACAAGATTAAAGAGGACATTTTTCTGATGCATACTGTTTTTAAAATGACTCCCTCCTCTCCTGACCTTGGCCGAGCCTTGAGATTGCCCTTACATTGAGATTGTGTAGACTTGTTGTTCAAAGTTAGTATCGATGCATCGCTAGTTTGAATCTGCGTGATTGTGTGAGTGATTGTGCATGATTGGACTAGATGAGCAACATGAGGACAAGCGCAGAGATGAGTTTTTCCAGCTGTGTTCACGGTCGTTAAAACTATAACCTCCAGCATCTTTCACTGGAGGCAGAAAGTCCAAAACGTGTAGGAGAAAGAGGAGAAATTCCCCAATTACTACTCAATGCAAATGAGGGACAAGTTTATATTAGCGTCAGCAGTAATGACAATATATTGGCAATAATTGCACTTGGCAGAACTCCATCACCGGGCCGTTCTCCAACGGGTAGAACTCCAGATGTGTCAGAGACAGTTTACGACTGTGGTGTAGAGCAACTTTCTTTAGCTCACTTGCATGTTCATATACTGTAGCTCAGGGTGATTAATGTTCAGAATACTTGGTCCTAACAAGAGCCGGGTAGCTCGTTAAAGAAATATATAACATATGGGATGCTTAAGGACCTGGAAATTAAGGGTGCGGCGTAAGTACTTGTGGATTATTTTTGGCTGCAGGGATGTGGTG